ATAGATGCTGAATCCCAAGTGAAAACCCGCGTCGTTTAAGACGTCCCCTTCCTGTCGACTGTGGGCATTCACCTTCGTTGTTTCAATTGTACTGTCTCGAAGGCAAAGATCAACAATACTTTCAAATTCGATCGGTGCGTAGTCTGAAAAATAAGGGCTACGATGAAGATACGATTCTGCTTGGCTGAGAAAAACAATTTTCCCGTCAATGTTGAACATCCGTGCACCTCCCGACCGCCAGAATTTTTCATAAGCGCCGCTTAGCTCGCCATTGGTACCAACTCCATCGCGTACCGAGTCGTCTGGATCAGGAGGTCCTGGTGTGTCTTGATTGCCACGACCAGAGCGTTCCTGTTGAACTTCACGAATAATTCCCTCCAATCGATCAGTAACCGGAGTAAATTCGTTATCGGACTGAGGTTCATTCGTGTTATTTGGATTCTTGACGGCATGTTTCTTCGAGTAGCACATATTCGCGTAGTCGTGGGGGAAAATGCACCAAAACATGTCGGACGATAAGTACGAACAGTGACCGAGGAGCGCAAAAACCATGAGCGCGTGAGGCCATTCATGACCTCCGTTGATCAATCATTTTGTGGTACTCATGGGTTTCTTGAGACAAATAGATGGTCGACACTCGTTCCAACCAGAGTTTCGCTTTAGAGCACAAAATGTCAGATACCGCAATGCGGGTCAATACTTCAGGACTCCATGTCGATCCATATAGAGTCATGTGAAGATGGAGTCTACCATCACGCTGCGGTTCCACAACTGCCCCAAATGCTGCTATTTTGCCATAGACACCTGCGTTTTGTTGCTCATAGTCTCTGCTAACGCGGGTATCCTGAGCACTTGGACAACAAATTATATCGTTGTGAATTGACTTCACTTTTTTTTCGAATACAATAGCCGTCAAAGTAGGGAATTTGGAAGAAATTGCTAGCCTTTGTCGATCATTGATTCAATCCGTATATGGCAGAGAATTCCAAGTGCAGTTTGCAGAAGTAAATGGAGAATCCAGATCGTTCCAGGCACGTTGTTGCCTCAGTTGTGCCACTCGATGCAGAAATAAGCTGTCCTGTTCCGGAGAGGCGACAGTAACCCAGTGGTGAGCAAGTCCATACCGCTCGCTCAAAGCACGCAATTTAGGCCGTGCTGTGGCACGTTCTAA